TGTCTCCGAGGATAATAACACAATAAATGAAGTCCCAGGTATCTTGACGAAGATATATATACATGAAGTTTTAAAAAGTGTAGCCGGCGCTGCATTCCATCTTTAACAAACCGAGGGTTGATTGTTGGCGACGTTATCAGTTTTACTGGTTATTTGTTCGCCAAATAACAATTGTTGCCAGTTGTTATCAGATCGGTTTCACTTTTCAACCCGATTCAGATATGTAACAAGATTTGAATGGATAGGAGAGGAGCCAAAACTATTCAGTTTTGTAGCGACAATAATGAATAAAAGTGTGTCTGATACGTGAATGAATTAATTATTAACTGTTTTCGAAACTTGTACACTACAAAATATTTCTAGATATGGAATGAAGTCAGCACTGTTTATCAAGTCTTCTTCGAAGATAGAGCTTTTGAGAAATGCAGAAATTCTTTTCCTGCTAAAAGTTGAATGTCAGTATGGAGAATATAATAATGATTTTAACTGTTGATAATATTAATCGAGTTAGAAGTAAAAATAAAGAAATATACGAACTCAATTTCAGTTGCAGTAAATACAAACGTACTAATAGAATTTTTATCGTATTCATCTTTAATTCTAATACGTTATTAAATATTTAGAACAATTGTTAGTTTAAACTTCATAACGAAGCAGTCTCCCTGAATATCTATTTGCAAATACTAAAAAAAATAAAATAATGTGACTGTCAGGAAAAACCTAGAGATTTGAATACAAGGTGAAAACTGATATCTGAGAAAATTATTTGTTTAATATATATATATATATATATATATAGCATAATTTTATATATATATATAAAATTATGATTATGTTTTATTGTATTTTAATTTGTGCTTTTTTTTAAGTTCTTTTTCTTTCTTCTAATATATAATTGAGGGTTTTTCAGGTTAATTGCGTTTGTTTCAACTTGATGATTATTTCAGTTTTTGTCCAACAAACCTCTTTTTATTGGTGTTTTTATAATGGAGTGGCATGTTTTAAGAACGTTTTTGATAGATCTTTTTTTAGCTCTCTCATTTCTCTCACTTTTTTTCTGGCTGGAAATACAGCAATGTGATAAAATGGAGATTTTCAAATTAAAATTTTGCTTTAAAAATTAAAAATAATTGTTTTTCCCCTGTTTCTCTTTTAATTCCTTTGTGGCATTATTTCAGAACATTTCTTATAAATTTTTTAATTTTATTTTTACACTTTTCTGGAAATATGGTAAAATGGAAAAACTGGTATTTTAATTTTAAAAATTCTCTCTTAAGAATAATGATTGTTTAACCATTTCGTCAAACTAAATTTTCCAATAGGAACAGGGAAAGCAGTTTCAGAGAAAAATCTATACAGAGATCTGGAAAAGCGAGTAGTTTTTTTTATCATTTCATTCATTGTTATTTTCCTGCCTTCTCTATATCATTAATAATATAAACTATTTTGTTTAGTTTGAGCACTTTAAAAAAGCCTTATTGTTAATAACACACACAACGAAAGTGCCAGGCGGAAAGTAAAAAGCCATAAAATGTCATTATTTCTCTACACTTGATTGCCAGGAAATAATTGTAAACTGTAATGTTTGTAAACTACACTGCTTCGACAGTTCAGTGTATAGTTCTTTTAGTATTTGTAGCAAGCATATAATAAATTTCACATTTTAATGATAGATTTGTTTTTAATGACAGATAGATGCATACTCATATGTTTTGCATTTTATAATGCTTTCTATTTTTGACAAAAATTCGCAATTTTTTAAAAAAAATTTTAATGTTATGTCTCCCATTCTAATAAAGTTATGCTTTTATTTCTTCACTCTTTCTTAAGGTGAATTTTTAAATGATATTCTATCATAATTTTTTGTAGGAATATAAAACACAAAGCAAACAAAATTTTAAAATTTAATTTCCAATTCCAACAAATAGTAAACAATAAGAAAATAGTAAACTTTTTAATTTTACTTTATATTTTTCATTGCTGAAAACCACTTTCCAAAAATAAATTTGATTTTTTTATATGAAGCATACATTCAACATTAGGTAGAAAAAAGAGTTAGGGGGACTTTATTTCACTATAAAAAATTCATTTTATTCACCATACTGTTATTTCACCATAAAAAAAATACTTTAAATATTTTGACTAAAAACCATTTTTTTAAAATCAGAGATAAAAATACCTATTTGGTTTTTTATGTTGAAAAGTACAATAAATAATCTGAAAAAATATTGAGATAGGGATACTTTTTTGAAATGTCTTGAAGAAAGTTGGCATTAACTACTTTTTAGTTTTTTAATGACCAAAAACACCCTCTTGATTTTTGTTATATTGAAAGGCATGATATTTAACAGTGAGCAAGGTTTAGAAACTTTGTTTTTGTGCTATAAAAAATCTAGAAGTATTTTAACTAAAACTACTATTTTATTCTGTTAATGACCAAAAACAAAAAATATTTTCTTGAATTAATTAGGTTGAATAAGGATTTTTTTTACATAATTAAAATGTATTAATTATATAAGAAAAATCTGAATTAGTAAAAAGTGAGATTTTGTTGTAAAAAATTCTTGAAATTTGCAAAAATATTTCCTCAAAAGATGATTATAATAAAAATTTTTAAATTCCTAACTATCTATATATGTATGAGTAATTTGATGACATTAGTACACTATCATCTGTAAAATTTTGATCTTTAAGAACAATATCAAATTACTGTCTTAAACTCTTTCATCTAATCTAGACAGCACAACCCTAACCTGACATGAGTTTTTACTTTGAAAAACTAATCTTTTAATATATCAATAAACTTGTCAGATATTTTATAATTCTATACAGTTTCTCATACTTTGACTCAAGTAAAAGTAGTACACATACTACATAGTATAGTTTACATACCTTCTCCCTCATTTTGCAGAATTTGTGGGGGGGGGATATTTTTTTTCTTATATTTTTTAATCGGATAATAATTCTACCTGACATTTTTCTGGATTTTAAAATATTTTTTTTGCCAATCATATTTCCATTATTATAAAAATTCCTATTCCCTGTAGCTTTGTTTTAGACAAAGCTAAATTCAAATCCAGATTTTTTCACACATATTGTAAATCAACATCTCATTTGAATATAAAACATTTGGAGTAAATATGCATTATTTTTATGATGTGCATTATCTTATTCATATAGATGTTAACTTCTGTGCTATGAACAATGTTTAAAAAGATAACACCTCAATTGCAAAACACCTCAACTTTCTTATTATAAAATTTGTGACTTTTTTCTAAAATTATAAACAAATATGTTAATTATAATTTCATACAGACAAAATTCGAAAAAATATAACTTTCACTGATACCCTTATTTACTAGAAATCTCTTTTTCTGATATCTATAATACAAAATAAAGGCAGTATCTGAAAAACAAGAATTTCGAATACAAAAATATCTTCCTAATTTATTAATGAAACCAATGTTTCATTTTTATAACCAAAAGCAAGCTACATTATTTTAGTTATTAGCAATAATAAACCATCAATTTGTAATTCATATTCAAATCATGCAAAAATGAAAAACCTAAATAATTTCTTATGCAACTTTTGTGAATAATCAACCTAGCTATATGATTCCACTAATAAATAATATTAAAATTAGCAGAAATTATCAAATCAGCAGTAAATAAAATTAAAGTGCCTTTTATTGTGTTGTTTTATTTGCTCATGAGCAATTAATTTTATATGCATAGAAGTAACTGTGTGAAACGTGTATCAAAAACAGAAACAATCCTTTTAAAATTTCCTGTTTTTGTATCAATCAAAAGAGAAGTGTCCCGATCCGAATAAAAGTTATATCAGGACAACAAGCTAAAATTCAGGATAAATCAAACAAAGAATTCTTATTAAGAAAATTACTCTTTCTCAAATACGACATGATTGGATTTGCAGGAACAATGAAATATGATATATTCAAATGGCAAATGTAAAAAATGGTCTTTTTATTTAATGAAAATTTATTCTAACAGTCTACATTAAACTCTAGTGTAACACGTTTAGATTAGCTTCATCAACAGACTACTAACTTGCAGAAACATAAATTAATTTAACTTTGAACATTGATTGATGTATTTCAAAGACATTAAGAAACTTATTTCAAATTGACAAAACTATAATTTTTCATATTTAATCATTCTTGTAGTTTTTACTAGCTAACTTTTCAAAATTCCTTCCTTACATTTCCTTCTTCTGATTGTTAGTTTAAAAACACACTTGAAAACTACACAGAGCATTCAAATATCTTTTTCTTATTTACTAGAATATTTTTATTGCTGTGCAAAACTCATTTTCATTCATAAATTTATGCATAATATTATACAAAAGATGTTTTTTTCCTAAACCAGAAGAAATTAATGTTATTTTATTAATAAATATTCTTTAGGGAGAAAATGATTATCAGAGCTGGTCAAGAAATAAATTATATTTGTTTGCAGCCATAACCAAGAACTAATTGAATACAGCTTTATCTTCAAATAAAAATAATCAAATAAAATTTATATCAAATAATAATTATTGTTGTTGTTAATTTACGTCGCACTAGAGCTGCACAAATGGGCTATTGGCGACGGTCTGGGAAACATCTCGGAGGATGATCCGAAGACATGCCATCACAATTTTGATCCTCTGCGGAGGGGATGGCACCCCCGCTTCGGTAGCCCGATGACCTGCTCGCGAAGTCGAGCACTTTACGGTAGCACAGTTTAACGAGGGCCAATACCGCACACCCTCGGTCCCTACGCAGACTGATCCAAGTGGTCACCCACCCGCACACTGACCGCAGCCAGTGATGCTTGACTTCGGTGATCTGCTGGGTCTTAACGATCAGTCCACTGCGGGACATAATAATTATTATATATAACAAATATTACATTAACTAATTTTTCACCAAAAAATTAACAAATAATGAAAATGAAACAAATAATTTATTTAAAGAAGATTTATTTAATAAATTACATAATAAAAATAATTTTTAATTACATAATAAAAATAAACTAATTTATCACAGTGAATGTGTTATAAACTTCTAAAATAAAGAGTGAACAATGTTTGATTAACATAATTGACATAAAAATGTTTACAAACTTCATATATTTTACAAAGAAATTATATTTAATCACACTTCATCTTCAAAAAAGTCCCTAAAAGTGCTATATTTTATCACTATCTGCAAAGTCCAAAAGTTCTAAAATGTCATTTTCTCCTTTTTTCTCCTCTTTCACAAAGAATTCTTGGGATAACTGTCCTAATTCATTTCTACTTTTCTAAAATGAATAAAATCTGATAAGAATTCTTCAGAAATAGATATCAACCAACTATGGTTAAAATAACTACATAATAGATTTGACAAAAAGTCAGATACAAAAGATTTCCACTTTTTTTGCTAGATAATTACTAATTTTAATAAGATTATTATTATACTTCTTAATAATACATCACATTAACAGTTTTTACTTAAATTAGTTGAACTTTTATTTTTATTTAGAAAAATTAAATAAGGTAAACAAATAATATTTAAATTACACAAAAAGTTGTAGGGGCAGACATTTTTGTCTAGTGTCATTTTTAAAAAAGTTTATTTCAAAATTTGTTATTGATTTTTAAAATTTTTAATTGGTGAAACACTTAGAGTAGTTTTTTCTATTTAACATTAACTTCTTTAAATTCTCAGTTTTCTGCAGGAGAAGCATAAGTAAGAAAAATATGAAAATGGTCTTTTATCCGACATATAGATTTTGAAATTTAATTCATGAAAGGAAGCTTTCAAAAGAATAATAATTCTTATAGAATGAAGTTAATAAGTAGACTGTAAATTTTAATGCAGAGAAAATAAAGAAGACAATATTGCATGACATGCTGACATCCAATCCTTTTAAAAGTAGTAATTATCGATTCCCTCATGTAGAACTAATTTAACATAACTAAATTTGAAGTGGTCTAAAAGCCCGATTTTGTAAAAAGGCAAACAAAAACAAAAAAATATGTAAAATTATAAAGTACCTGAGAAGCATCAATAGTTACAAAACAACCAACATTCTTCTCATATGAATCTTTTTGACTGAAAAAAATAAATAAAAGATAAAATAAATAATTTTAAATGTAATATCTCAATAAATTACTTGCTATTTTAATATAAATACCATTCTATTGATTCTTCATCAATAGAAGCAAAAAGTAAATCTGGAACAAACTCAGACTGGCTAGAATTTCCAATCAGGCGATTTAGTAGGGTTACTTCCTCAAGTGCATGATATTTTCCACTATCCTAGAAAGCATACATATATTAATATAAAAGCTGAGCTATTCAGCTGCTAATTCGGAACATAGCTTGTATAGTTAAAAAAATAAGGATAAAACAAAATAGAAATGAAGATAAGTAAATAAAAGTTGTGGGCAAAATATTGGGAGTTACTGGCACATAAACGTAATATTTCTAAATTCACATTAAATTGAATCGTCAAATCTAAAAAATTTTTTTTTCTCATGTTAAGCTCAATACGGAAAATTGAATCGTGATATTTTTTATATAATTTTTCAATCAGGAATTTGGGCAATAAAATTTTATTTGATTTAAAGTGATGATTATCTACTTAGTTTTAGAATAATACATTTTAATTTCTGGTGTAAATTAGAGTAAACTGTATTTTTAGAAGAACATTTTTCAACATTTAACATTATATAAAAATCAAATATTAGTTAATAGTTGTTATGATACTGTACTTCACTCAATCTATGCATATTCCATTAAACAATATCCCATTTTAATCTTCAAGTGTTTATAAAATTTATTATATCTGAATCTTATTAAATTTTGCTCAGTACACTGGTTTTTTTTCTACAAAAGAATTTTCTATTCCTATGTATTTGGGATGTCTCCAAGAGTGCTATATCAAATTTTTTATAAGAATATTTATTATAATTTTAACTTCGGTCAATGATAGGCCTAATCAAACCAAATAATAATGATAGGCCAAATCATCAATTGTTATTTTAATATAACTTTTGATAAGGACACTTTGAATATTTCTTTTTCTCAAAGAAGCAATGGTTAGCAACTGTTGTTTTACTGCAGATTTTCTGTGAAATTGTTTCTGTGTTTATTTGAGACATCTGAACAACTTAGGATTTATATTTGTCTATTTCTAAAAAAAAAAAATGTCAAGCCTCAAAGTAGATCAAAGAAAAAATTCAGGACACATTTTGGTACGTTATGTATGCACCAAAATAATTTTAGAAAGGGTAAATGACAAAATAGAAAAATAATAATTAGTTCTACTTAAGATCAGCAAAAGAAAATTTTATTTCAAAACTATAATATAAAATACTATTTTTAATATTAGAGTTACTTTGTCAAGAATGGAAACTTTTAATAGTTTCAAGAATAATTTTATTAATGGAGTACTGAACAACTTATAATGGTTTGAGATTAATATATGGAATTTTTTTTTCACTGTACGCTGCATGAAAAAAAAGAGAATAACCAGTATCAACTGATATTCTTTAATACCAATTGTGGTATTGTATATCACATATGAATATTCGTTTATAACATAAAAAATATTTTATTACATATAGCCTTGAAAAATTAATATACATATGTTAAATATTTGGCAATCAATATCATTATGTTACTTTAATATGGTGTATTTTTGTTAAATTAATAGTTCTTAGATAAGAATAATGGTTGTGATTTAATTTCTACCTATTTAATGTAATTTAGTTTGTGTGTCAACTAAACTATTTGTTTATATATTACTTCCACAATATTGGGTTAAAATATTTTAAAGCATTGTTTATTATTTAAATAATTGTATATTAGAATATTAAGTTTATTTTGAATGATTAATATCTATGTGAAGTAATTCTTAATTTAATTCTTATTAAGAAAATGTAACAATATTCTTATTTTATTTCCCAATTTTTTCCCTGGCATTTTCTTATTTGTTAATGGTTTCTTTTGATGTTACTTTTGTATTGCTACCATCTAAACGCAAGTACCTTTTTTTCATGGTTCCCCAAGTATCCTTTTCTCTTTTGTGCATGAGAATTCTCTCATCACCTTTTAAGACTAACTATAATTTAGCTGTTAACAGCTACCCCAAGAATGTTATTTCCTGTTGTTCATCTCTGACCTTCAGGTAACTTTAATGCTTTGTCGGTAAAAACCAAAGTTTCTAGTACATTCTTTTTTGTCCCACGTCACAGGTTCAGGAGACCTAATTTTGGCATGAGTTTTATTCTTTTCTTGTCAAATTTGATTTATTTAAATTAAATCTTAAACGCTCATTGGATGCACAATTGTTTTCTCGAGTCAACCATTTTCGTTTTGTACGCCAAAGCAGCTAACATAAAAGGAAAGGCATGATGCCACAGCATTAGTCAACATTCAGTATATCTTGTCTTAACTAATTTCATTTTCCTCTCTGGGATTTCGTCCCCCACACTTGATGGCAACTTAAGTTGCTTTAATTTTCTTGTTTTGTATATGCTGGTGTGAGTTATGATTGTCAGTTTTGAAGCTTAGCGAATAAATGTTTTCTTAATTGTAAAATGTTCTCGTCATTATTTCTTTTAATGTCCGTCATTTTGCTTTAACATGGGTGAGAAATGAATTTTTTTTAGCCTAAGTATTTATTGTTTTTCAAGCTAATATGTTCTACCGGAACTGGTGGCACTCACTTTGTTTCTACACTATACTTTAAATTTAATTGTTCTAAACTCTAAGGCTTTTGCCGATGTTTTTCTTTTTATCTTTTTGGCCATTTAATGTGTTACCTTCTTTCAATAATTCTTAATACCTTCACCATACCAATATTTAATTAGAATTTGTATTAGAGTTCAAAACTTCTTTAATCAAATAATTTTAAAATGGAGTTTCAATAATCTTGAAATGAAAACACTGTAAATATGCCACCAAGCATTTTTGCACAAAAGTAATTTAGGGGCTGATAGGTTTTGACATATTTTTATTAGCATAACATGATGCTAACTAAAAACTGGTTTGTTGTTGCAATGCACAATACAAGATAACATAACAGTCGGCACAATTGCTTCAAAAGCTACAATTGTGATTTTCTTTCTATTTCTACAAGAAAATTTGACCCTCTTTCTACTTTATTATTTTGTTAATAAAAAATAAAGCCTCTGTAAAATTAGTGTTTAAAAATATCAAACTAAAAATAATTCATAAAAATATGAAGCGTTCGTCTTGAAAGGGGATTTAAAATTACTAGATGCAGATTACTGTATGTCCATTGAAAAGAGGGCTCACCTTAGGGAAGGGATACACAATAATTTATTCATAGAAGACTGTTTTGCATTATGAAAGTTGTCCGCAATGTTAGATGTCCATTCTGTAGAGGTGTTTGTTAGGTAAGGGTTTTACTATATAACTCTTTAAGGATTATTATTTTTATAACTTAGAACTGAGCAAACTATTATACTTACGTTGCATTCTTTATGATTCATATCAGAATCATTTTCTTTATCAAGACCTGGAAACATTGCAGCAGATTTTATGTATCTGAAATAAAGTTTTAATTAAAAAACAACATATTTATGAAACATGTCTAAAAAAAACAATATTTTTGAAAAATTTATAAATAAATCTAAAATAGTTACATGTAGAACCTTTCTAAAATCTATATTAAAGAAATTTCATAATTTATAGAAGTGTCATAAGGCTAGATGACTTTGTCCCTGTACTTTTTAGCAGTAACAGACTGTAACTGTCCCTCTGATATCACACAGCTATTGCGAAATATGATGAACAATTGTTAGACTTGGTCAACCTTGCACTGGTCGTTGGGTAACATCTTCTGTAATTTGAAACCTCTGCCTTTGTCATGAGATCACACACTGAGGCACAATCAGAATTAGAGACACTTCTGTTTGAGATCGTCCACATTTCAATATTTCTTCCATTCAAAAACATTTCCCTTTTGCATTTTTGTCTTATTTTTTGGCCTTTTTGATTGCTTCATAGTAATTTCACATAACCAGTCTGAACTCTGTATGGAATATGAACTGGTTTTACACTCATTATAATATTCGCACATGTTTTGTGTCAACTTAAATGCTTTACATAAGCGCACTGTTTTACAATCAAACAGTGATTTTGAACAATTTGACCATTATTTACTCTGTTATTCCACATTTTACGAATTATGCTTAACTTTTGGACACCAATGTAATAGACAAATTTCAACAATAAAATGATTTAACTAGGTTTCAATCACAAATATATATATATATATATATATATCTATACTAAATGCATTAATTTTAATGTAAAATTGAAAAACTTTAATGTTTTTGATGAAACTGCAAAAAACATTGCACAACAAATTAATATAAACAAATCTCGAGTATATATAAGAGCTGTTCTTAATTTTTTAAAAATAAAAATGCGTTTTTGCTATATAAAAATAGAGTCATAAGCTTTAAATTGCTGATATTACTGCGGTAGAAGCATGATTAACTAATATAATAACTTTTAGGAGGCAGTTGATGCAACATGATCCAAAAGAAAACTCATTTAAGGTATACTCATTTAACGATGGATATAGTACAATATTTGTATCAGGAAATTTCATTACCATTAGCTAAGTGAAACTTTAGTATTGTTTAATTGTATACATTTGCATGGAAAATAAATATGATAGAAATTAGATTTAATAAAAAAGCAATAGTAAGGAAAACTAAATGCAGTTATTTAATGAAAAAAAATTACTGTCTCTAGTTTCCCTCAGACAAATTTTTAATATGAAATGAATGTGTTACTTTTATTGCTTTTTTTCCTATATTTCCTATTTTACTAATACTTTTCTGGTTTTATATTTATTGTTAAATCATTCTTAGAATACCATGTGGAAATGAAATTACTAAGCAAACTCATGTTTTGAGGGAATGTTTTTTCTCAATTGCCTTATTTTATGAAAGTAAATGCCATGAAAGAGGTTTTAATGGATAATAAAAAATTTAACTTTATCTCCATCAAACTGTACATGCAAAATATTGATTAAAATTATTAAAAACAAACAATGACAAAAATAGAACGAGTGTTAAATTTTAAATTATTATAATTTTAGACCTTTCATTTATGTTTTAGATTTCCAATTTTCCTCATTTATAGATTGAACCTTGTGTGAAATTACCCAATAACCTCCCTCCCCAAAAAAAGTAATCATTGAAAAGGATTAAGTTGTGAATATAAGTCATAGGTTTCATATCAACTGTTAGAAAATTAGCAATTTAGGAATCTTTTAATTTCTTGACAATCTGATCTTTATAAAACACAAATACATACATGTTTGTTCCCAGTGAAATACCCCTGTTTCCATCAAAATCAAAGCATCTTTGTGGCAAACTTTTTTTCCATTTTTCTTGCATTGCTTCTCCTTTCACAATATAATCATCATTTTGCATTCTAAAAACAAAATTTAAAGAAATTAAATTAACAAAATATTAGATGTGGCAAAATCATAATAATCATAATGTGTTGTAACTTAATCCAAATTTAGCCAATAAGTATAAGCTTCTAATATTTATGATCAGCATGTAAACCTATGTTTACTATTGTTAGACTAGACAAAGCTTATTATTAGGTATCAAATTTATGGTTACATTTTTAAATAAGATATGAGACTAATATTAGAATTCAAATATATGAAACAGTACAGAACCCGTTATCCGGAAATCAGAAAACCGGAAAACCAAAAAAACGGAACGAAATTCCATAAATTTTCTCGTCATTTTAAAAAAAAAAATTTTTTTTTCCTCATATGAATTTATGCTTTTTCTTTCTTTTTTTTAAAGATGTTTACCTTACCATCATTTTGGAAATAATCATTAGTGTATTACTTCATCGTTTTCTCTTATTTTTAAGATTATTTCCAAATTTTTTTTTAGTTGGGCTAAACAATAAAAAAAACGGCTTTTTGTAGAGATTCAGAAAACCGGAAAAATCAGTTATCCGGAATGGCGATGGTCCCGACCGTTCCGGATAATCGGTTCCCTACTGTAATACGATTTAGACACAATGTGTTCTATCATCTAGAGAAAATGCTCATTATAATGAATTTCCATTATATGGAGTCAATCACTTTCTGTCTTGGAACAGTAGAAAAGTAATTAAAATTTTAAATAATGCTCCTTCCAAGTAATTTTGAGGTAGTGAAATCAAATAGAAATGAAAAATAAATGAAGGGAAGTGCAAAAGAAAAGGAGAAAAAAAGAAACAAAAGACATAGATGAGGTTAAAGGAGGAAATGATCACTAGGATATTCAAAGTTCGGCAACCCATGTTTAACTAAAGAAAATAAATCCTCTGAAAGGTTCGTTTAATTTAGTTAATTAAGAAGAAAAAGCAATTCCTTAATGTCTAGCATTATGATTTGTGGATCAGTACTTTTTTTTCAAGCTTTCAAAAACTGTTTGCACAGTATTTAATCATGAATATTTATTGCAGCAAATCATGATATTGTATCCATCTCAATTTATTAATAATGCAAAAATATTTTTTTTGAAAATCAAAATGAAGTTATTTTTAAATTTTTGCAACTAAGGCACTTTTCACATTATTTTAATGCATAGACCATTAATGGGTTAAAACAAAAAATTTAAACTAATGTATTTTTAAGGATCTATGATTTTGTGACTAGGCATTTCGTGATCAGGTATGAAATTAAGACCCAATAGTTGAGAAGATATTTTAAATAAAATATTTTATCTTTAAAAAGTAATATAATAATATTATTATATTATTTTTAAAAAAAATATTTTATCTTTAGATATTTTAAGGAAAAAACAGTGTTAAGAAGAATAAAAGAAAATATTTAGCATACGTAGAAATAGAACTTTCAAAGCCAGCTTTTGAATCACAGCGAACAATCTCTCCATTAGATAATTGTAATCCTAATCTCATTAATACTGACACCTAAATTGCAAAAAGAACATTTGAAATATTAAGAATTAACATTTTTCTAATGCACATAATTTTTTAAATTTTAATACAGAATACGATTGCTGTATTTATTGTAGCTAAATATTCATTTACAGTCAAATTAATGTAAAAATAACAATGATACAAAGGTTAAATCCAGAAACATTTATAACTTAGTTTTACTGTTGCATCTAGTTTCATCAAATTTATGCATAACATTTTGATTTGATTTGTTTGAAAAATTTTTGCTTTTTGCATTTGAAGACAAAATAACTAACTTATCAGTTTAGTTTGGATACAGAACAGTAATAATAACAGAAATAATACAGAAATTTTCATGTATTATTTAGTTGGCAAAATAATAAGAAAATAAAAATCAATAATTTTAAATCTCTAAATATTTTCATGGAGAAAAACAAGAATATATGAAATAAAAAATTATATTTATGCAAAAATATGTGTGCAGATGAATGAGAGATCATTAAAACTTATAGACACATAATAGGTGATTCAATGGTTATATGCCAGATATTTTTCAGTGCATTTTCTTTATTAGATTGTTTTAATACTTAAAAAATAGAAATTTCAAGTTATTTTTATGAAGTACTCATAATTCTTTAATTAAGACTAATGAATTTTTTGAAAGTCCAAAAATAAATTATTTATTACAATTAAAGCTGGCATCACATATGGAATGAAGCTGAAATTGCATAAATATATTTTTTTAAATAATTTAACAATTGTATTTATTTAAGTAAAATGTGAACTTTTGCAAATGCTTTGCAATAGTTTTAGTAATATTATAAGTCAGTATAATATTGCAATTACGGTTTTTAAAATTTTCACTTGTTCATCACATGAGAGACACATGGGAATATCAAGCACTGGAAGTTTATAAGGAAATAACACTAATTTCAACCCATTCTGACTATTTTTTATGAACTATTTTTATGATAATTTATTAAATTAAGAGAACAAACTTCAATTTCTATCCTATGTTATTAGAGAAAAGAAAAGAAAACAAAAATTTCAACCCAAGCATTACAATATTTTGTCTGAATTTATCACAGTTATTGACAAATATGAGAGAGAGGATCAGAAGGATTTGCAGAGGATCAAAATTGCTGTGGCATGTCTTCGGATCATCCTCAGGGATGTTTCCCAGACCGTCGCCAATAGCCCATTGTGCAGCTCTAGAGCGACGTAAATGAACTACAACAACAATAATTTATATTTGAATCATTTCAGTATTTGTTATGTGTATTATTTTTCCTAAGTAGCTGAATCAATTAACATCTCTCTGGGTAATGATTCACATATTTTGCATAACGTTTTCATTTATTGATAGTTAATTTGGTATTATTACATTGGTATTGAATTTACAATGGCTTTCTCTGCCTTCTCACTACTTAATATATTGTATTATTTCAAGAATATTTAATGCTGTCTTCCTAAATTTGCTAATTTAATTTTATTAAATTCTAATCTAGAAAACAACTTTTTTCTTTACACATTCTTAGTAAGCATTTTAAAACCTAAATCATATAGAAATTTAATGTAAGAAAACATCACGCTTTTATATTTAGCCTTAATACCCAAGTTAATTACATATGTTTTGTCAAGCTTTGACAAAAAAAAAAAAAAAAAAAAAAAAAAAAAAAAAAAAAAAAAACACTGCTAGACAGAATAGAAAAATTTATTCTAGAAAGAATTTTAAATTTCATACGTTGCAAAATCCTTTTGAATTGTTCTCAATTTTATAACTTTCTTTTCAGCTAATAGAACTCTTTTGATGCTTGCATGTTTCATCATCAATGGTAAATCTTCCAGCGCTTGGCCATGCTCTTAATTGTGCTTTAAATTATTATTTATCTTCTACCAAACTACATATGCAGTTGGATCATAAGGTTTCAGTAAAAATGAAATATTTTGGCATGTGTCATGTATGCATGTTATTTAGTTTCATATAGAGTGCTAAATTTGCTTTCTTCTGTTCTGAATTTCCACCTTCAGATAATGTTTCTTCTTCTGATATCTTAAATCATGAAATTTCGTTTTTTTAATTTTGAAAACTTAATAAGTATTTTTTTTATTTGTTCCTTGTTTTTTTCAGCCCTAGCTCTTTTTTCTGTTTTTTTTTCCTGCCTGTATAAAATGTGTGTGTATCAACTGTAAAGATCTAAAAATACATTGAGTAATTATAATCTCACATTATTTTCTATCTAATGAAAATAGATAGAAAAAGATATGAAAATGTAAAAAAATATTGCTTTTAAGACTCCACTCAATAATTTTACCATATTACTCCTGAAAATTTAATTATCAATATTCTGCATTAAACTTAGAGCATAAAATAGCTATAAATATATTTTTATTTAATTTTCCTTATTTTTATCATATATTTATTAAATAAAATTAGACAAAAGAAAAGTTACCCAATTTTTAAATTTTTTCAAAAAGTTTTATTTTGTGATGTCACAAGCAGATAAAAATAAACTTTGTTTTTGAAGAAAATGGATAATTTCAATGAAAGTATTTAATAGGAATGACAACTTAATGTTTAAAAAATAAAATTTGAAAACAAAATATATAATTTAGCTGCTATTGAGAAAATACATTTTTTCAGTCAAATGCAGAACAGCTATTCCATATAATTTAAACTATTTATTTCTTGAACAAAATTTTTTAATTTTATCCAAGAATACGGAAGCTGTGAATAGATAGCAACTTGATCAAAGCGTAGCTGTTTAACTTTGTTAGCAAAATTAAGTTTCATGGCTTTAAGTTGATTCTAAAAATCAGCCTCAACTGCAGATTCTGAGTCTGCAAGAACACCAATGTTTGACACACTTAAGCCACTCAATAAAAGCAAATTTCTTAGAAAATACTTGAAGTTCAATTAATTTGAAATTATAACTGTTAAACTTTATAAATCTTAACATCAGAAAAAAAGACATTTTTTTTATATTTTTATTATTTTAACATTTTTCATGTGTGGAGGAGAATGTGGGAGATAGATGTTTTTTCGCCAACGGTGGGACTGAAACCAAGGTCTCTGGAGTCATAGTCAGACACTCGAAACACAATAACCTTAGATAAGGTAGTACATGAGTTAGGAAGCTTTATATATAGTGGCAGCACACTCCCCCTCCAGTGAAAGAGAAGTCTCACTCATTGTCAGTCATGAGCATTTCACAAGAGTTTAGTAGGACTAGCCATTCCAATGCAGTAAATCTAGTAAACTGAGGTGATTTGTTTGACAAATCAAGGCAATGTAGTGCATTACTGCAATGCGTCAAGGAATGAGATGGTTGCGTTGCGCGTTCAAGCCTCTGTATTCACCAATGTTGTCTTACGATTTAGTAGGTTTCGAAAAAACTTAATAATTTATTGAATGAAACATTATAACATCAGCATGACGGAGCTGAAAACCGTCTGTATTCTAGAACTCCCTGCACTGTTCTGATCACTTTCCTTGGGAAAATACCTTAATTTAAATTGGGCAAGACTGTGCTTGTAGACACCATATAGTGGCAAGTTGGCTGCGTATGCAGCTGCCATTAAGTGAGAAGTTTTAGAAATAATACTCCTTCAGATGTTAGATAGGAATGATAGCAATCTTATATATTTTTATGAATTCTCAAAGGACAATCTTTATTATTCATTGTAGTTTTAAAATCTACAGATGGTTTTAAGACTGGATGACAAATTTCTTTTAAATAAAATTGATCAAGGCTAGTTAAACTTAATAAAATTGGGCTTAGCCATTTCTTATAGGAAATGTTTCATGTTATTTAAAGGGTCAGGTGGGATAATTTTCTTAGCCTTTTTAAATTTAGCTGCTTTGAGAAATAAAACGCATAATGGTTATAATTTTTATTAAAAAATATTAGTTAAAATTATTCAACCATATCAAAATGTGGTTTCAGAGTACAAAATATTTTTTCTTCATATTTTTACATAGTAAATTACCAGTCATAATTGATAATTCATAGTAAATTACCATAAGTTGAGTAGCAAAATTAAAATTATGTTCAGAGAAATGTAATGAAACATGTAAATTACTAAGATTTAAAATGTAATTTCTATCATAAACTGTGAGAAGGATGCCTCACTCAAAGGAATGGTAAAATGTAAATTTTTTTGGGTAAGAAACAATAAGACACAACTTTAAATTTACATAATTCCTTTTTAGTTAAATCTATAATTTCTACAGCAAGAATTATGATTTGATAAAGTTTTTTTTTGTTGATTAAAAACATTTATTTAACTTGTATCTTCCTCTAACAAGCTTTAGATATATATTTTTGAAGATAAGTAATTTTTTTAATAATATACTTTATTTTTGATAAAAACGAAGTAAGCTTTGAAATTATTTAGAAAAATTTTTAAGTCTGCAGAATTTAAAATAGTCTCTTCAACACAGTAGTGAGCTATAGAAGATAACAGAAAGAAAAAAACTTAGGCCAGCCTAATAGATTACGGTGTGTGCTTATTGTAGTAAGTTTTTAAGAGTATTTCAATTGATTTGTAAATCCTTTACAAAAAATAAGACAAAAGGAAATTAAAAAAAAACTAATCATGAGTACTAAACTTTTAGCTATATTGGAGATATGCTTCCAAGCTTTTCAGATGCTTAAAATTATTTAATAATTATTTATAAATAGCGTCACACCTTAAACCGGTAGGTATCTGACACTGGCAATAAAAGCAAGATTTTAATTTTTTTGAACACTTTATTTTTAAATATACAATTTTTATTATCCATAAATAGTAGCTAAAAAAATAAATAAGATAATAAAAAATAAATAAAACAAGGACTGATGCATTTATTAACTTAATTTTAATCTAGCAATAAAATATAACCCCATTGTCCCTGAATGATTATTCTCCGTTACTGAAATTTTGATTTTATTCCATTTCAAGCTATCTACTTGATATTAAAATTAATGAAAACTTGAAATAACTGCAAAAGGTAAACCAGTATTATAAGTACAAATCTGAGATAATTCTGTTTGAATTTTTTTTAAATGGAAGTAATGAGTTGAAAAATGGTGAAAACTTAATGTTTTTATTATTTTTATTGTATGTTTACTTTCTTTGTAATTTGACACCGTAAAATGTATTGTTTAACATATCCTCTTATTTGTCATATGTCATATCATACTTGTATCATAACAATTGGAAATCAGAAATATACACACACACATATTAGAGATTTAATGGATATTCAGCCACTATTCCGTATTCCGCCCTTTTGCCAAATATTCAGCTGAATGTTCAGCAAATATTCCGCAAAAAATTATTTGGGAAAGTATTTTTCGGCAAAGTTTCTTTTCTTTTTTTTTGGGGGGGGGGAGGTTAATTGATTTAATAATATATAATATAAAATTGTATTTTTTACTATACATTGTTAGAAATTGTGTTTTTATGTATTTTGTAAGTTCTAAAACTTGTTTATTTATGTTCTGAATGATAAATGGAAAAGCAAAATTTGAAGAATTGAAACTAGATAACTTTATGTTGAACCACGAGTTTCATATTAGTGATTTTTATAAAATTTTATCTAGACAAGTTACTTTTTTTTGTTTGGTTTTTCCTTGTATATCTGTATTATATGGGAGCCTTTCTAATAGACAGATAACTTGTAACATCATCATCATAGTTGGCCAGACAGCCCAATGTGAGCCAATGCCTTCCTCTGAAGATTCCTCCATAATGACTTCCGATTTATCTTTGATCTCCAATTCTTTTCATTAATTGCAAGAAAATCAGACTCCACTGGGTCAGCCCATCTCAACCGCAGACTTCCCCGCTTTCTTTTTCCAGTGGGTGTAAAAAGCAGTATCTTTTTTACTGTATTGTCAGCACTCATTCGAATCACATGGGCCATTTAATTCATTCTATTTAGTTTCATGTATTTAATAATAACAGGTTGCTTATAAATCTTGTACAGTTCAAAGTTAAATCTCCTTCTCCAGCTATAGTTTTCATATACACATTACCAAGTATACTCCGCAAAATCATTCTCGCAAATGTTGCGATACAATTTTCCTTCAGTTTTGTCATTGTCCAAGCTTCAGAAGCATAGGTCAAGACTGGCCGGATAAGAGTTTTGGAGTTTAAGAACTTCGTTTTTCTAGAAAGAACCTAGATTAGTAAATCTTCTCAGCCCATAGACAACCCTATTTGCTAGACTTGTAACATAGAAAACTGTAATTCTCAATGACAAGATTAGATTTAAGAACTAAGAACAATTTTTTTTCTATTTCTTTTTTAGCTTCTTTTTATTATCTTTTCTTTTTATCAGTGCTTTTATTATGGCAGCACTTTTTAAAGAGCACATCAAATAAACATTATTCCTTTATGGTTACCCTTTTTTTCTAAAAATACGGCAAACATGCAAAAGTTAAATTGTGACTTTCAGCATTAAGTCTTTCATTTAAAAATTAAGAACGATTTTTGTTTTGGTTTTAATCTAGTTTTTCCTTTTTAAAAAAACCTTGTGTTTTAATAGACGTTTTTATTATGACGCGGCAATTAAAAGGGATTCTATTGGACTTTAAACTTTACTTTTTCTTGAAAATACGGTAATCTTGGGGGATGATCCTCATAATTTTGGTTTTACTTTTAATAAATTTTGTTTGATAGTACAAAAACTACTTTGAAAATTCTTGAAAGTTTTTAAATTTTTAAAATATTCAAATCAAACTTTTTTCATTAGTTGCCTAACATGATTTATTACAAAATTATGAAAAAACTTCTTAAAATTTTTTCTGCTCAAGCACAGTGTAAAAGAACTACCTTAAATATTTTGTACTTGCGTAGTTTTTGACAAATTTTTTCTAAATTTTAAATCAATAATTTTGTAATTAATTTTAAATTGCTCCAAAAATTTTGTTTAATTTCATTGAACATTGTTACAGCAGAAAAAACGTAAGAGAAAAAAATAAATTTTTATAAAAACGTCCATATCTCTATTAATATTTACTCTACGTTTATGAAATTTTATGCAGTTATTAAAAATAACAGCTAAAGTAATCTATACAAGTTACAAGCTTATTGCTTGATTATATCTGGCATAGGATGTTCAAAAATACTTGTTTTCTTTCGTAATTTATTGTCGGCCTTCTAAAACTTTGAAAGCTTTAAATCTTATTGCTAAGTGTGCAGGGTAGTAGTAGTAGTATATATATATATATATATATATATACTACTACTACTACNAGTAAGTATATATATATATATATATTGTTAAAAGCATTGTAAAGTAAAATATATTTATATGATATTTACTATTAGCACAGTAACAATTTTTAGACTTAGAAAAGTTATCACATAAATATATATATACAGTGATCCCTTACTTATGCACCACCTCTTTTATGCACCTTTTTCATTTATAAGACGATTTTAATAGGTCCCAGTACATTAGATAGGAAAATAATGATAAACATCCTTCGTTTATGCGTCGCTCTAAAAGTCAATTTTTCAATTATGCGCCGAAATTTTAGGCTAACATTTTAATCCTTTAAATATTTTTTCTTTTAAAAGAAAAATGTTTTAAATTAAAAAGGAAACAAATAAGCAATCCTTGTTACAGATGAAAAGAAATATATGTTGTTAGATCCTATTGAATTTGCTTCCCCCTGTGACCTTTTCATTTTTGCTGCTTCTGGAAAGACATTGAATAGGATGTCTTATCTGTTACACTAACAACAATGAAAGCCCATTCATCTTTTAGAAAATTACCATTCCTCTTGTCCAGAGGTTAATTTTACTCCCATGCTGTTTTCTAGAGAAAAAAAAAGACACCTGGAATACGAAAGATGAAAGAGACCGCGATCACTTACTTGAAGTCAGATGGACATTAAGTAAATAAAAGGAGGTGATCTGTTTAGTGACATTAGTAATCTAACAACTTCTTGTGCAGCATATTATGACGTCAAGTACTTTTCTTAGAAATTTATCATGTGATGTTTCACCCCACCCATAAAACTCAAATTTTTTGTGAAGAAGTGTTCATTTATATCTAACTAAAACTTTAACATTTAATCTTTAGAAACATATTTATTCATATTGTCACTGCAATTTACGTTGCATTTTTGAATTTTGAAGTTTTTCACTTATGCGCCTTTTTCTCTTGGCACCTTACACCGGTGCATAAGTGAGAGTTCACTGTATATATATTGAAGTTCTATAGTCTGAAATAAAAATGCAATATTGAATATAAAAAGAATTTTTAAAAAAAAAAAACACAAACAAACAAGAACTTAACTTACTCTAATATTCAGGTCTTGTAAAAATGCTGTAATACAGCTAAATAAGCATTCATAATCCAAATGTTTCATATCTTCATAATTCTAAAAATAAAGTTGCATATAGCCTGTTATCTTCATAGACATGTTAGCTATAATGTTTAAAATTTATCTTTTATATAAAAATTTTAATGCAATCCTTACTTACTGAAACTAATAAAAAGAAAACATTTTCAACTTTAATCCTTAATTCTTGATAAGAGACAGCACAGTTCCTTATAGCATCCATGTGATTTAATGTAACCAAAAGAATATCTTCAGCACATCGGCAATTTAATACTTGATACTTGAAAACCATCAACATTAAATCATAAAGCTATTTAAAAAAAAAAGATTTTCAGATTTAATACAATGATTACATCAATAATTAATTACAATAATTTTATACTATCTATCTATTATAACTCTGTCACATTCAAAAGTTTCTTAAGGAATTATAATAGCACAATAATTTTTTACCAGATTTAATACAAAAACAAAGAAAAAAATTAAAAAACAAATATAAGTAATATTTTTTGAAAACAGATTTGGTTTTTATAATGCAATACTATATGAAGGATTAAAAATTTTGTATATTTAAAATTTGATTTCTCAGGCACTATTCAACAGATTTTGTTCAAGTTTTATAATTTGATGTGTAAAATTATGTAAAAATTTATATATCTTACAATTCAAAAGTTTTACGGCTTATTTTAAATAGTGTAAATTTTTTTTTTACATGGAACTATCTTTGGATAAATGAATTTTATAATTGAGAGCAAAAATGTTTCAATTCGCTTAAAAAGTTTTTGAGATATGGTGAAATATGCAGAAAGTAAAATTCCAATTGCTCTTCTTGTCAAACTATGGGATATATGGGAACCCCTATATTTTGGAGGTCAGAACACAAATCCGTTGAAAAAAAGTATGATTATTTAGAGAAAGTACATTTTTGTGTCTGATTTCGTAACTTAAAATATCATTTGCACTAATTAATTAGCATATTTCAGGTCACCTCCTTGAACCATTACGAATGAGTCCTAGAGCATGAAGATTCGATCATTAGATCAAAGTGCCCCCTTTTTTTGGCGCACTGTACCAATGTACCCCATGTTCTGAGTTTCACAAAAATAACAATAAATTTTTCTCCTAAATTTAAATAGCTGAGAGTATTTACTAAATTAAAGATCTATCCAGGGAAAATAATTGCAATTTATTCATGTATTTGAGTTTAATAAATTATTTTAATAATAACACTTATTTTAATAATAAGCCATATTTTCAAATAATGATAAAAAGTGTTTTTTAAACTAGGATTTAAGTAAATTTTTTTTTTTTTTTTTTTGGCTTGTCACTATTTCACACAAAGCTCTTCAGTTTATATACTTACCTTACTCATGCTAGTTGTGTTTAGTCTCATAATTGATGAGTGTACCAATTTTTCAAAAACAGACTGCATAGCTGATCGGGAATACATGTTTTGAGGTTTAAAGAGTTCTTCAATAAACTGGTCATTTAACATGGTAGTTAAAATATCTTCAATAACTAAATAGAATAGAAAATATAGGTTAAAAGTAGAAAATTGCTTTTCAGTTAAAATAAAGTCCACATTGAACATAAGAATATTTATTAAAACACTATTAGACATTTTGAAAACTTAAATGTCATTAATTGTGTGTGAAACACTTTATAGCCCCCCCCCCCAAAAAAAAGAATTTTCATTTGAAAGTGATATCAGCAATGAAACCATCTGATTAAAATAAAAGTAAGAGCATCCATAATAAAAATAAGCCAGTTTAATAAAAATAATAATATATTAAATAATAATGTAAAAAAAATATAATATAAAATATAATATAAAATAATATATATTATTAATTATTAATTTTATATTATTATTATTAATTTTTATATAATATAAAATAATAATATAAAAAAAATTAATAATTATTAAAATAAAATTAACATTAAATTAATATTATAATAAATAGACAACCTGCAAAAGCCAAGAGAAAGAAAATCATACTTCTGCCTATAGCTCTGTTCTTATAAGGAATTTCAAGTTCCTTTTGGTGAAATTAATTTTTTTCTTCTTTTATTTCAACAAATATTTAGACTTAAACTTGATTTTCCTTTTTCAAAATAAATTCCAAGATTTATAATCCAACAATGATAAGCTGCAAAACAACAAGTATGTGGAAGAGATCATGCCAGTTGTCAAACACAGCTAGGTAGTTAAAAACTTTATTTATTAAAAAATTATTATTATTTAAACTTTAACTTAATTCATCTATAAGAATTAGTTCAAAATAAAAGTTTAGTAAAAATGCTTTGAAATAAAATACAAATTTTGAAACTGAAATAGGACTAAAAATTGATAATATACTATCTAAATAAAAGAAAAGCTTAGAAAATTAATAGGATACCTATGAAATGTTAAAAAATAGAGCACACTAATAATTTCCGGTTTTCTTAAATAAAATTTAATCCTTTTTTTTTTTTTTAAACTTTTGTTTGTTATTTTTTTACTTATTATTTCCCCCCCTTTTTTTCATATGTCTTTAATTTTTCCTTGTTTTATCTTCATTTTTAACTTATCTAATNTATATATATATATATATAAACTAGCTTAATCAAACTTGAAAAAACTGAATCTGAAATGTAAGACAAATTAACCAATAAAATATCCTGGAAACTGAGAGGTGATGTTCACTTCTAAGGGTTACTTTGATTAAGGGTTAGATATAGGACAAAATTCTATTCTGCATGATATTGAAATATGTCTCTTTCGTTAAACAAAGAATTATATTTAGGCAAGAGACAACTACTTTGTGTATTTCTTGAAAAATAAAATAAAAAATGATGGGTTTATCAAAATGAATAAGCAATTGCGTGTTTATACAGAATTATTCACAACTTACTTTTTCTGGTTATAATTTGCTACAGTTTGGAAACATATATGCAAGACAATTCCATGATATTTGTAGAAAGTAATAGCATACCTTTAAAACGCTCATCGTGAATTTTATAAAAAGACGTTAAGCAAAAAGTTCGAACTTTATATTAATTTACGAACAATTAATTAGTACACACAGAAAGGTGAAGTAAATTAGTTCCAGAGATATAGAAGTAGACATATATTAAAACACACATATTTTCTCTTTTTAAATTACGATGTTTATAGTATATTCCTTTTAAAAATATACATAGAGATAATGAAAATATTTTAATTTTCGAAACTAATAACCAGTTACATGTTTACAAACTATCTTGCTTATGCTCAAAACATACGGTATATTAGTTTAAGCTCCTTAAAATTTTTTAAAGCATTTATGTAAAACTATGTCCCGCATATTACCTTTATTGGATTTGTCTTCAGAAACATTCTGAGCTTCAAGTCGTTGTTGAATTACATAAAGCATTTCGCCACTTAAATTAAGAAAAATAATCGGTAATGCTCGATCTGCCATCATAAAAGTATAGGAATATCAAAAAATAAATATGGATAGTAAACGTTTTGATCACTACATTTGAAGCAAAACTTCGACTCTCTTAAAAATTTGGTCCGCTTTGAAGGGGGGTTTGTTTATTTAGCCTTTCCTGCATAGTTACCGTCGCAATGGTAACGTTGTTGCCAATAAAATAAAGTTTGCATGAGAAGATAAATAATTCAATGACTTTGCGGAGGTAGCCGAGATATAATGGTTGGATACCTACTTCCGTACATGAGGAACTGGATACCATTTGCACGGCAAGAAAAACCGTTCGCTTTGATGGTTTTTTCTATACATCCAAAGAAATGCCGTATACCATATTTTGTTTCAATAGATAATGCAAAGTATTCTTTCATTTTGTGGATCCCACCGATCCCGCAGTGGACTGATCGTTAAGACACGGTTCCCAGCAGATCACAGATGTCAAGCATCACCGGCTGCGGCCAGTATGCGGGTGGGTGACCACTTGGATTATTCTTCGTAGAGACTGAGGGTGTGCGGTATTGATCCTCGTTAAACTGTTCTACCGTAAAGTGCTCGACTTCGCGTGCAGGTCGTTGGGCTACCGAAGCGGGGGTTGCCATCCCCTCTGAAGAGGATCAAAATCGTGATGGCATGTCTTCGGATCATCCTGAGGGATGTTTCCCAGACCATCGCCTATGTGCAGCTCTAAGGCGACGTAAATGAACTACAACTACAACAACAGCAGCAGCAGCATCCCTCCGAGGACTGATCATAAGACACGGCTCCCAATAGATCATCGACATAAAGCATCACTGGCTGGGGTAAGTGATCGAGTGGATGACCAAGTTGATCAACCGACTGGTAAGCTCTTAATAGGAATGACGTAGCTTCGTTTGAACTATACAAATGCTTCTTAAAAATTTTGGGTATTTATTTCTTCACAATTATGGGCATAATATAAAAAGCATGTAGCAATGCTATATAAAGAGCATATTTATAGTTAACATAATAGAGTTTATTTTGCGAATTTTTAAAATTTTTTGTAATGATAAAATCATTTGAAACTTGTTTCAGATTACAAAGTAAGCGTGAAATCTTTCAAAAATACAGAAAGATGTGAAGAAATAATTTAAAAAGCATTTTTAAGAAAATCCAAAATTTTTAAGAAGCATTGGTCCAAACCAGGCCACGTTAAGAGCAAATATATGGTTTACATCATGGAGGACACTTTGCTCATTCTTTTATAATTATATGCATTTGAAACTTGTTTCAGATCAAAAATTTATCGTCAAATTTTTCAAATACATCCATAGTTGAGAAGAAATAAATACCCAAATATTTTAAGAAGCATTTGTTTAGTCCAAACCATGCTAAGTAAAGAGCCTTGTTACTTCATCCATACAAAGACCTTATCATTGGGATTAAACTGTCATCCTTAGTGAGTAAGTGGGGTGTAGCTCTCATCCTATAGAGGAGAGGTCATCACCCCGAAAAGTGGAGTATAGCGCTCATTTTTCCTCTACTCAGCTTAATCAATCATTCCTTACTGCATTGTAGTTTTTATTTAAAAAGTCTTAAATTTTTCAGAACTCGAAATTTTGCAGATTTATCGGGATGAGGATCAAATTTCATAATAAATGGAAATGATGAAGTGGGGGTACGTGATCCACTTAGCTTGAAAGATACCCTACTTTTTCTAAGAATTATGCTCTATAACAGACGTTTATTAAAAAAATTAACCCCCCTTTTTTTTGATAGTTTTATAAATAGTTATTTGATATTTAACAGGTATCTTTCGCATATTGACAACATTTGTTACGCATAATGGACTATTTAATACAAGGTATGTATCTATTATATTTGTTTACAAATTTTGTCTGAAATTTTTTTAAATGGCATGAATTAATTATTTTAGTGAATATTCACTAATTATTACTAGTGAACTTTGCAAAGAGTTTCTTTAAGGAATCTGATCGTACATATAGCCATTCTCTATTATACCTATTATTTTTAGCTTTAGAATTAAGAGTTCTGGATGCAAAAGAGAAGAAAAAAGTACTTAAACTAATACATTGTAAAATCTATGCCAATAACATAATATTGGTACACGGGTAAACATGTTATTTTTATTATGTTCAAACTGATTTTCTTAAGTATTCAAGTATAAGGGATAAGCATAATTTTTGTACAAGAAAAATCACATTAATTAATTAATTCAGATCTCTTTTCGAGTGAAATACTTTTAAATGAGTAATTTTTAATGTATTAATTTGTTTTTATTTAAAAAGTCTGAAATTTTTTAGAACTCAAAGTTTTGCAGATTTATCGGGATGAGGATCAAATTTCATAAAAAATGGAAATGATGAAGTGGGGGAACATGATTCACTTAGCTTGAAAAATACCTTACTTTGTCTAGGAATTATGCTCTATAACAGACGTTTATTAGAAAAATCAACACCCCATTTTTTTGATAGTTTTATAAATAGTTATTTGATATTTAACAGGTATTTTTCGCATATTGACAACATTTGTTACGCATAATGGACTATTTAATACAAGGTATGTATCTATTATATTTGGTTAAAAATTTTATATGAAATTTTTGTAAATGGCACGAATTAATTATTTTAGTGAATGCTCACTAATTATTACTAGTGAACTTTGCAAAGAGTTTCTTTATGGAATCTGATCGTACATATAGCTATAATCTATTATGTCTATTATTTTTAGCTCCAGAATTAAGAGTTCTGGATGCAAAGGAGAAAAAAAATCATTTAAACTACTACATTATAAAATCTATGTCAATAACATAATATTGGAACGGGTAAACGTGTTATTTTTATAATGTTCAAACTAATTTTCTTAAATATTTAAGTATAAAGGATAAGCATCATTTTTGTACACGAAAAATCGCATTAATTAATTAATTGAGATCTCTTTTCGACTGAAATACTTTTAAATAAGTAATTTTTAATGTATTAATTTGTTTTTATTTGTTCTACAAAATTCGAAAATTGAATTCTTTCATCACAATGAAATATTTATTTATTTATCTATTTATCATATAACACACACTACAAAAAAGTAATGAGAGAAGTAAAGTCGATTTGTCACAAATTAAGACATTAGAAATTGCATTCAAAAGTTCAAAATATACAAACCTTAAAAAAACAAAAAACGCATTAAATGTATCCAAAAACTTGATTAAAGAGGAGATTTTGAAAAAATTTAAAGAAATATTTAATTTTTCTATAGTACAGAAAACGAAGGAAATTATTTAATTGTTTTATGCATTTTGATAAGCTAACTTTGAAATTTTGTAGTAAAGACCAATTTCAAAGTCTTTCGATTCAATTTATAACCTTCTAAAAATTTTCCAGAATTAATTTGATGTTACATTTTACTTCTCGATAAGATACTATTCTTGTTTTTATATATTTTTTTCTATTTAATTTCATTTCCTTGGTACAAGAACTATATTACTGGAAACGAAATTCGAATAGTGTCAGAATCACCTTTCTGTTATTCTAACTAGTTAGCTATTTGGTCCGTGGTCGTAGTAAAGATAATCATTATGACACCCGACATCACAGATAGAATATGGTTATTTGATTTGAACCCTTCCATCCGTTGGTTGCTTATGCTTGGTTCATGTATTGAGCACCTTGATATTGACACGAGGAAGTAGTGAATAGAGCAGCTGCTTCTGAAATGTCACCTGTTATTCGTGACTCATCTGTATATATTTTTATTATTGAAGTAATCTTATTGTTTGTTTTTTAAAGAAAGGTAATGTGCGAAATTTTATTGATGGAATATTATTATCATAACAATAGAATATTATTATTATATCGTTGGAATGACCCTTAAATCCAGAATGAATTACAGAATAACAAGACAAAAAATAGTTTTGAGAAGCAGAAAAACTTTTTAATTTTTTGAGCTTAATTATTTATTCATTTATTTATTTTTTTGCATTCCAAATCAAGCAAATTGAAGTAATTAAAGTATTATTGCATATGAAGCGCAAAAGCGCAAATTTAGGGATTTTGCTTCATGGCGAGTTAAACTTGGTTTTACTCTTATACTTTGTTTTCATAAACTTTGTTTTATGATAAAACTTGTTAATTTTAATTTTCTTAATTTTCAATTTTCTTCGTTTTTCTGTTTTTTCTTTTATCCTTTTTGTCTTTATTGTGCTTATCTTATTACAGTTTGCGACATTTAACTGAACAGAAAATACCACAACTGAAATGCGTTTTAAATATTTTGCTTAACACTTTCATGTGTATATTTCAAGACACTTGCTACAAAGCCGTTGGTGACTGAATCTAAGTTTAAGGATTCACGATGGAAAAAAAAAATAAAATATGAAAAGTTTTGATTTTTCCGTACTTCTAGTATCACATGGAAATAATTATTGTGTTTTGAAGATAGAAAAGTATCTTTCAAGCAACGTTGAAGAAAATATCCAAAATAAACTTTAGAAAAGAAAGAAAAGCACGTAAACTCTTCAGATATTAAATATAAATATGGGTTCAAAGGAAGTTTGGAACAAGATAAAAAGAAAATGTTATAAAATATTCTCCTTAAGGGTAACTGAGGCAATGTAAAAGTTTCGGCATCTTTTAAGTTACCAAAAGAGCCTTAAGCTAAGTAAGGAACAGAAATACATTTTTGCTGAAACCTTAGTTATTCCATTTTTTTCTTGCCAAGCAATCAAACGTTTTATCGGAATATAATAACAGGGAGTACAAAAACTTTCATTGCAATTCGGATACAAATGATAGTTTGCTTTGTGATTTGCCAAAGTTTCTTTATAATCATTTGCAAAGCTTAAACCAAATCAAGGTCCTGTAACAACTTTTTTTGTATTGATATTTTGTTTTATGACTTAGGGCCATGTCATTATTTTCGAATGAATTATTATTTATTAAACATACGCATAGTCAGAATCAAATCTCCATTTCATATCAGATTGTTTACATATTTGGATTAACAAGAACTGTTAGGTTTAGGATATATAATATGTAAACAGTAAAAATAAAGCCATAAATGAAGCAATTTGCGTTAATATAATATGAGATAATATATAGGTTAAAACGATAAGGGATTTCTTTATGATTTTTAAATGGTGATTATTATTTACACTTTGGATCAGTAATGGATGCCAAAAAAAGTAAAATTAGGC